ATGAGTAGTAGTCTAATAAATTATGGGGAAAATGCACAACTACTAATCTTTTAAGATACACTTTCAAATTTAACAAATTTGATGATTTATTTCAAAAATTAGGTCATAAATAAAAATATGATAATAATTTAATTTATTATTCTTTAATTAAAGGAAACTGAAATGATAATTTATTATATTCAAATACATCTTTATCATTTCCTAAAATAGAGTATTCAATTATATTTTACAACCAATTTTCCTATCTTCATTCAGTAACCAATTTATTCAAATTAAACTCTTCATCCGAAATCACCAAAAGATAGAAGATCATTGAGATCAATGATCGAGATAATTGTTATCAATTTCCACATCTTCATCCAAAATCACCGCCGTTTTTGTCTGAAATCAAATTAATCGAATGTAGAAGATCATTGAAATCACATATTGATCATCATCATCATAATCTTGAAGAGCAGAATTTTTAGCTTTGAAGTCACAAAATGAGAAGATTAATGAAGTCGATTATCATCATCAGAATTATCTGGTTCGAAGTCATACAAGTTCAAGATTACTGTAGTAAACATTTGATCATCCTCCTCAACTCGAATAAAAGAAAATTCAGATTTGAAGTCACAATCTAGTCATGAATAATTCAATTTCGAACCCTAATTAATATTTACTAATTTACATAATTGTTTTTTTTTCCCGATTCATCAATATTGAAAGTACTGTTTTATCTTATTTTATTTTGACGGTGCAATTGTTGTGTTCATGTTAACTGTGTCTTTTTCTTATCTATCAGTCACGTGGATAGAATAGTTAGAAAATAAATTTGATGTATTTGAAAGTGAGCTTGTTATGTATCAATCACAAAGACACAATTTCTTGTAGATTGATGTTTAAGTTTTTGGTTAAAGGACTGAGCCATATGTTATTGCTATTGTTTATTGTATCCGACCTATTGGATGTGTTTTCTGCGATGTTTGTGACCATATCGGTGTTAACAATGATTGTTTGTGATCAGGTCTGCTAATTGTTTCTATTTTTTATCGAGTATATGTTAACAACGATCGTGTGATCAAGTCTGTGTTAATTATAATTATTTGTGTGTTAACAAGGATCTGTATTTTATAAGTTTTTAACGGGAGTTTATTTGCGACCAGATTATAGATTTTTAATAAGAGTTTATTTGCGACCAGATTATATATTTTTAATAAGAGTTTGTATTTCATAAAATTTCTGCATGAATGTGTCTATTAGATGTGTTTCATGTGCTTTAGCGTAAATGATGGTAACTAATTTTTATTAGTGGTTGATTATTAACAATATATTTATTAATGAATGTTATATAAAATTATAACCTGATTTAGAAAAAATAAACTTAAAATCTGGTTAATGAAGTTTAAACTTCAAAAACAGGGTTAGGTGTAATTTCCTTTTTTTATTATTGTAGTTAAAATTATATCCTGACACTCGCTATATCAAAGGCATATACTTAAATTAAGATAGAGTAGGTTTATAGTCGACTCTAGGCTAATTTATCTTCTTCTAACTGTTACGGAAGTATATTTATTTTCCAGCAATAATATCTTTGCTATTAGAGTCCCACATTGACTGATGATATTTACACGATCCACTTAATAAGATGAGAGCAATCCTCCCCTACCAAGCCGATTTTTAAGGGTATTTTAGGTAGTTATAAGGTTGAATAGTAAAAAGGGGTATTTTGGAAAGGATATGGTTGAATTTGGGGTATTTTTAATAATTTCCCCTTTGAAGTCACAAAATGAGAAGATTAATGAAGTCGATTATCATCATCAGAATTATCTGGTTCAAAGTCATAGAAGTTCAAGATTACTGTACTAAACATTTGATCATCCTCCTCAACTCGAATAAAAGAAAATTCAGATTTAAAGTCACAATCTAGTCGTGAATAATTCAATTTCGAACCCTATTTAATATTTACTAATTTACATAATTGTTTTTTTTCCCTGATTCATCAATATTGAAAGTACTGTTTTATCTTACTTTATTTTGACGGTGCAATTGTTGTGTTCATGTTAACTGTGTCTTTTTCTTATCTATCAGTCACGTGGATAGAATAGTTAGAAAATAAATTTGATGTATTTGAAAGTGAGCTTGTATGTGTCAATCACAAAGACACAATTTCTTGTAGATTGATGTTTAAGTTTTTGGCTAAAGGACTGAGCCAGATGTTATTGATATTGTTTATTGTATCCGACCTGTTGGATGTGTTTTCTGTGATGTTTGTGACCATATCGGTGTTAACAATGATTGTTTGTGATCAGGTCTGCTAATTGTTTCTATTTTTTATCGAGTATATGTTAACAACGACCATGTGATCGAGTCTGTGTTAACTATAATTATTTGTGTGTTGACAAAGATCTGTATTTTATAAGTTTTTAAGAGGAGTTTATTTGCGACCAGATTATAGATTTTTAATAAGAGTCCGTATTTCATAAAATTTTTGCATGAATGTGTGTATTAGATGTGTTTTACGTGCTTTAACGTAAATGACGATAACTAATTTTTATTAGTGGTTGATTATTAACAATATATTTATTAATGAATGTTATATAAAATTATAACCCGATTTAGAAAAAATAAACTTAAAATCTTATTAATGAAGTTTAAGCTTCAAAAACAGGGTTAGGTGTAATTTCCTTGTTTATTATTGTAGTTAAAATTATATCCTGACACTCGCTATATCAAAGGCATATACTTAAATTAAGATAGAGTAGGTTTATAGTCGACTCTATGCTAATTTATCTTCTTCTAACTGTTACGGAAGTATATTTATTTTCCAGCAATAATATCTTTGCTATTAGAGTCCTACATTGACTGATGATATTTACACGATCCACTTAATAAGATGAGGGCAATCCTCCCCTACCAAGCCGATTTTGTTATGTTGAGTTATGCCAAATATCATTTCTAATATGGTATCAGAGCCTATTAAGCTCTAACGAGTAATTCGATCCGATTAAGACTCCAAAAAGTGAGCACACGGATTTCAAGATTGATCTACTCAAATGAGCTACCATCTTGCGGGGGCGTGTTAAGGGATATATATCCCACATCGATAAATGATGTTGACACAGATCAATTAATAAAGATATTGACCTACTCCTTTTAACAAGATTGACCTTTTAAGATGGAATCTCAATTCTTAATATACAAATATTTTAAGTTTTACTCCATCCATAAACCTTCCAGTTTGAGTCTCAGCAGACATGCGATGATTTTGTTAATCTGAAACAACTCATGAAAAGAACTGAGGGTGTGTTTGATTGCAAGGGTGGAAAATGGGTGGAAAGAAAATGTTTTATAGGGAAAAGATTTGCCTAGAAAATGTTTTGTAGGGAAAATGATTTTAAGTGTGTTTGATTGGTATAATATTCCACCTAGAAAATTTTTAAATTTTGCGTTCGTTTGGCTTTGTTTTACAGGAAAATTGTCTACTAAAGTGATAATTTTTTCAACAATTGGTTATAAAATTTGTTTCCATTGCCAAAAAGTAAAAAAAAAAAAAAAAAAATTGTTTCCTAAAAAATTATTTTTTTATCAAAGTTTAGTATTCGTTTGCATCAAAATTTTTCATGAAAGTGAAATTTTTTTTTATACTTGGTTATGAAATTTGTTTCCAATATCCAAAAAAATAAAAAAAAAAGCAGTCAGAACACAGAATTAATTTTCCCACCTAAAAGGTGGGAAAATCCTTTCCTTACACGCAGGGAAATTGGCGCGTAGAGGGAAAAAGAGTGGCCCATTTTCCATGCCAAATTGTTGCTGTCAAACACTACTAAAAGGGAAAAGTTGGAAAATATTTTCTTTTTCTACCCATTTTCCATGCCATCAAACACACCCTGAATGTACTGCAAAAGGCAGAATTTCTACAAGTTTTGAAGCATTTCTATGAACAGAGACACAAACAATTAGCAGTTGGAACAATTTTTAGTTTCTGCTTATGTAAGTTCTATACCTTAGAATTAAAAAACCTACAAATCTGTAACCTAATATGAAAACCAACATCAAAACTAAGTTACTCCATTTCTGTGACTCCTTCAAGCCTTGCTTTTTCAGGAATTGCTCACCATAGAATAGGCATACACCTTCAGTACTTTCTAAACATCTCGATTTTCCCTGTTCTCCTCCGAACTCATTTATCATAAAGCATTCAAATGGATACTTGAACAGACTCAAGTATTCCATGAAATTCCAGTACTTGGGTATGGTATCCTTCGATATGAAGTACCCTGAGAAGAGGAAAAATGAGCCCATAACTCCAGCAATCAATGACATTCCCATGATGAAATTTGGCACTAATGCACTGAAGCAGACTACGAAAGAATTTGACATTAAGACAACCATCCAAACCACTAGAGAGAAATAGAGGAATCCATCAAATTCGTGTCTCATTCCGACTAACCAGTAAACCGGGGTAGTGTAGAGAACGGCAACTATAAGTAGAAAAGGAAGGAATACCAGTGTGTTTGCTAATATGTAAGAAGAGACTCTGTAGGCTCCCCTCGTTGTCTCTCTCATTAAAATTCTCCTTTCTTGCAAGAAAATTGGTAGTGCTTCTGTTGTCGATGACATCAAGAAGGTCAGGCTGAAGGCGAAGAAACCTAGTTGATTTTGCAGTTTCAGAGTCTTGGAAGTATTAAAAGCATTCATGAAAATCGTCCCTAATATGATTCCAGCTAGCAATGCTTGGATTGTCCTTGCTGCGAAAAGTTGTTTAGTTCTGATAATGTTGTTGAAGAATCTCTGGCTGAGGATCAGTACCTCTTTGATTGGAGAATTGCAGTATAAGATATGATTTCCTTCCATTTGATCAAAGAGGGAGTTTTCTATGACGTGATCATATTCTTGTTCCATTTCACATTTTTCGATATCGGTTTCTTCTTTGTGCAGGCTCTCTATAACATCAATGGCAAATTCAAGCATATTGACATGTCGAGGGATACAATGGCCTGCAGACTGAATCCGCTCCTCTAGGAGATTCAAGGAACCATTGTGAAGGGAAACACCATTGGATAACAATATAACTTGGTCAATTAACTCGAGAATTCGAAATCCGGGTTGGTGGATGGTTAGCACAATGGTTTTACCTTGGTTCTTGGCCATGGATTTAAGCAGCAACATTACATGAAGAGCCGATGCAGAGTCAAGTCCTGATGTGGGTTCATCAAGTAGAAGAACTGCAGGATCGTGTACTAAATCCACCCCTATTGCTACTCTACGCTTCTCGCCACCTGAAATTCCTCTGTTTGATTCACTGCCTATTCTCACTCCAGCAATGTGATCCAACCCAAGCTCCTTCAACAGCATTTCGACTCGAATTTTGGCCTTTTCACGTCCCCCGCACAGCCTTAGACGTGCACTGTAAGTAAGTGTTTCTTCAACAGTAAGAAGGGGGAAAAGAGCTTCATCTTGTGTCACATAACCCGACACCCTTCGGAAATATGCTGCATCCATTGGCAACTCATTGACAAGAACATGACCGGAGACTGTACACGGCACAATCATTCCAGCAAGAATTTCCAACAATGTGGTTTTTCCAGCACCGCTTGGACCAGCAATTGCTGTAAGCTCTCCTGATTTAGCTTCACAATTTACATTCTTCAAAATGCACCTAGCATTGTCCCTCCTTTTCCCCTCCCAGCCAAGCCAATTGAACTGCTCACCATATCTTGTAGGCAGTTTGTAGGACAAATTTCTCGTCTTAATTTGATAACACTGAGGTTCTTGGTCACCAGAATTTGGTTTTTTTACTGGTGAGTCCATGAGAAAAATGGTATGGAATTGAAGTAGAGGGGAAGATGAACTAACTCTTTGTTCAGGCTTTCTTTATACACCTTATGCACAATGCTGATGCTATATTAGCCCAATTGTGTCACAAAAACAGGTTGACTGTTTATATAATACTATTCAATCAAACAAAGCTGGCGAATATCATGCGGGCTCAAATGTGGTGGGCCCTATCTATTTAGAGGGCAATTTTTCTTTCTTTCTAAAAAGTCGCATGAACTGTGACACAAGATGCACCATTGTTGTGATTATAGGGTATCCTCCTGTATTTGACCGTTTCAAAAGTTTGTAACTGGTAAATACAGTTGTTGGGGTTACCAATGAGAACAGATAGAACTGATTATTCACATTTATTTGGCACGGACCAGTGTTTGCAGCATGAGATAATTAACACCCTTAACTAGTCTCTCTCCCTCTATCCATATCTACACCCATACATACACTTAGAATGGCGCCCGATGATTCACCCGAGAAGACAAGAAAATGCTCCCAAATTTTTGCAAGGATAAGACACCTTACTTGGCATAAAGAAATGCGAGCCATGCACTTCAAAAGTGGTCTAACACGCGTCACACCTCTTGCTATAAAATAAAAAGGGACTAAAGTCTGTTATTTTTCAATAAATTTGAACTCCGTTATCTATACTCATTTCAATTCATTTGGTCCAATACTGCGTCTATAAAATAAAATCAGTTTGGTCAACTATTATTAAAAAAATATAGACCAACTTGACCATATGAAAAATTCATCTGAAGGATCCCTTGAATTAAGATGATTTTATGTGAAGTCTCTCTCTGAAATTTATCACAACTTGTTACACAGTGTAGAGTCAACTGAAGCTGCCCTTCAGTTAGCTAAAGGCTACTTACTACAATTGATTTGATTTGAAGGGGTCACTTTAACTGTAATTTTTTGGAGTGTTAGGGGGTTAGTCAGGATTTAGGAGTGATGGAAAATGAGATGAATGGCAGGATATTCCCCCTTGAGGTCTTTTACCATACATACACAAATTTCAGCTATCTCGTAATTTTCGATATATTCTTGCAACGATCTCAACTTTCCTAATTCATAATGACAAACCTACTTCTTTAATTGGGTTTTGGAGCTTGACTAGAGTCTCCAATGTTGAGGTGGTTTACATTAAAAAAGTTATCACATAAATTAAAGTAGATAATCTCCACAAAAGTTCATCTCCAATGGAATATGTTCGGGATTTTGTCTAGTTGACGAGACAAAAAAAGAGTAGACGTCGTAAAGTGATAGGACTAGGGTAGAGGCTCTTTAATATACATAAGAGGTATTTGAATAATAGATGGAACCATTAGAGATGAAGATTAAACTTAACCATCTATTCAATAAACATCAATATCATGTAGATCAAAAGTCTTACTATTTACCTGGCACCTAGATGGCAGTCCATGGAATGCATTGAAGATGCTCAAATGGTTAAAGTGAGTTCCTTCGATAGCTCTATCCGTTGGGGAAAAAGTCCCACCAAATGCACGGCAGAAACAAAAATGAGCTAGAGAGAAAACACCAATTAAACGTGGTTCCGCAAACCTTCGACAATCACTTGGAAATTACAACAATCTTTTGTGCCTTGTGTTGAAATTACGGAGAATCTTGATTTGGCATTGGGATAAAAAAGTGCTGACTCACTTTCAATTTTGCTGAACAATGCTTATGCACAGTTTCACTTTACCAGTCCATTTTAACATACTGCTGTTTTGAGATTATAAATTTTATCCCATAAACACTTAGCAGTGTGCAGCATATGGTTATTTTCTCTTCTATCTAACAACTCACCTTGATGCTTAAGCAGTTCTGGGCATCTCTGAGTAATCAGTATTATCCAATAGGCAGTGAAGAGATAGTAAAAAAATTCAGAGTGTGTATACGATATCAGCCACACTGGGACTGAGACACGGCTAGACTCCCATGGGGCGGCAGTGGGAAATCTTGGACAATGGGGGAAAGCCCGATCTAGCAATATCGCATGAGTGAAGTTACACTATACAGAGTCAAATGAGATCGAATAGTATGTGGAAATTGGCTTCACGCTATCGAAAGTCATCATCAGAAATACCCAGGAAAATCCTCAATTAGAGACGTTATTGATATTGGACACTCTGTTGGAGTGGGCACAAGATTTCATGATGGCAAATTTCAATCTACCAAAGTTACTCTATGAATGATGTGTCCACTAACATGTAGCATGCCACAGATATTCAAGTGTTGACAATAATAAGGATTGAAGTATCAGCCATAAATTCTTTGTTGGTGCATTACCTAATTATCTATGTGATTTCCATCCTGAGTTTCATTCTTATTGATATTCGGTTTGCATCTTATGCAGGAACTGGATTTATCTCCTTACTTTCTTGCTGTTGCTCAATTTAAGGAAAAGACAAGCAAACAGAGAATAGATCCAATCAGGTGGATACATGGAAATGGTGAAAACACAGGCTTGCCTTCAATATTTTGCAACCTTGAGTTCAAAAAAACTTGTAGTAGTATTTCTTGGCTTTCCTCGAGTGGTAAAGGTACGGACATCAACCTAATGTGTTAACACGAGGGATCGAAGTCAAAGAGGGAGAAAACGGGCTTGATTTAAAATTTTATCCAACTAAGGATTTACAGCTCGAGGTTGGCTATGTGAACTTATAGAAATAAGTTCTTAGCTTGCTTCTTGGAAGCTTTGGAGACCTTTTCAAAGCATGTACTAACGTCCCTGATTCCCTTGTGTTGTTGCAGTTTCACGAGCGCCCTGAAAGAGCAATTGGAAATATAGTAAAGTAAGCAAGCATTTTGACTCAACCCTGAGGCACATTTGCTGTGACCGATAATATTAGTAAAAAATGCAGAACATAACATATATTCAAGAACAAAACAGAAATTAATATCTGCTAGTGAAAAAAATTGACAAGTAAAGTCAATAACGGAAAAACAATCAAGGTCCGTGTAAAAATAGTGTCTTTAAAACATATTCGTTCCCTCACCGTTAGTGTTTGAGGTTTCGTTGATCGCCTGTAACCAAGGATACAATGGAAAAACCAACAAAGATATAGTGCTCAATTTCTACACTGACGAAATAAATTTGTATCCGAACACGATCACTAAGGACCTGAACCATCGCCTGTGCCATTTACATTGATGGAGAGCACTGAACCTTTTCTGAATGAATACTAACTTACAGATCTCGAAGGGACCGTTCGAGAAATTGGTTTTGTCAACTGTGCATACATTTATGACAGATCCATGACACAGAATTGTATCTGCCATCATACTGATATATTTGATCCCTTTTGATTATGCTCATGGAGACGCTAACACGAAATGATAATCATAGGAACAAGATATTTCTTGATTTTAAGGCCCCATTTTTTCATGTAGCCACTTGCATATGCAAGTATGGATGACTTTACACAACATAAATTTTGTAAACGAGGCAGAAATGCTGGTGGAGAAATCTAAACGTTCTTTAGTAATGAGAAGGTTCAATCACCAGGTGGCCAGTCTTTTTTTGCCTTTAAGTTTGATACAGCGTTGAGTTACAGATGAATGAAAGTTTTCATATTGTACAAAAGTTCAATGACATATTCTTGAGACGTCTAAGCCTCCAGGTTAGGGGGATCGAGTTTCATCGAATATTGGGTGCTTAGAGGACATCATGCATGTAGTTATTACACATAGTCGACCGTACTCCACATTAGGGGTGTAAGCGGTCCGATTTTTGCGGTTTTTGACAA